AAACTACTCATCAATACAAATTAATCAAGCCCAAACACAAGGTAGTTACTGTATACCGTTGAGGAGTTCCCTCGACTGTCTGTCGGCTCCATCATCAGGTCGACTCCAGACCCTTATCAAATTGTAGTGTTTAAAAATCGTAATTGAAAAACATAATAGACGCATTACTCGCCCATAGAATTTTCGAAAGTTCCCCTCGGTTTCCCTAGGATCCCATCATCAGATCCTGACTTCATGGAAATGGGACCATCTCGGGAGTATACCCTTTCAAACAAAACAAGAATTTTGCAAATCGCTTCACGCATCTCAGAGTTATGCGCGTACATACATACAAAAAAAAAAAAAAGCAACATACCGGCCGTACGTATAACCTCCTCCTTTTTTGAAGTCGGTTAAAAAGAAACCCGTTTCCCGTTGTCACGCCATAACTTGAAAACGGCTAGACCGATTTGGCAGTTTTTTTTTATAGTGTTTGTTATTGTCAGAAGGTTCTTATGACAGAAAAAAATCCTGAAAATCGTACAGGAACGGGAGAAAACGGGATTGCGCGTACGAAGTCGCGGGCAGAAGCTATTATAAATAAAACCACATTTTATGTAAGTAGACATTGCATATAATACTTTTAATTATTATGGTCCTTATCGACATTTTCTTGTAAAACATAAAATATTATAATATTATGATGTCGTGGTGGCCCGGAGGTTTAAGACGCCCACTTCTCATGCATGAGGGTACGGGTTCGAAACCTACCAACGGCAAGTACCAATGTGACTTTTTCCGAGTTATATGTACTTTCTAAGATTATTTAGACACCACTGACAAACGGTGAAGGAAAAACATCGTGAGGAAACCTGGACTTATAATTTCTAATTATAAGTTTCAAATCGCCAACCCGCATTGAGCAAGCGTGGTGATTAACGCTCTAACCTTCCCCGTGAGAGAAGAGGCTTTGCTCAGCAGTGGGCATTTATAGGCTGTTGATGATGACAGAACAGAGGCCTTAGTTTGTTTTACGTCGAAATACGCTTTGTTGGTTGGTTCATTGGTGACCAATCAAGAGGGATTAGTACGAGTTTCTTTTTAGTTTAAAGTAATCGTAACGAGACGGCGGTCTGTGCTCTGAGGCCTTAGTATGAATTTGTTTTTCATTGAAAACAATCGTAACGAGTACTGTTTACCAGCTCTAATGAACCAACCAATCAGAGCAAAGAACACCGTCTCGTTTCGATTACTTTAACTCGTCGAGTACCGTCATTATAGACACAATTATAGAACAATAGGTTGCGGTCACCGGTCACAGTTTAAACTGTCGAACACCAAGCGGTCACCGGTGACCGCAACCTATTGTTCTATAATTGTGTCTATAATGACGGTACTCGATGAGTTAAACGAAAAAGAAATTCGTACTAAGGCCTGTGGCGTCCCAATAACAGAGATATGTATGGGTGTGCTTTTAATATATAAAGGCGAGAATATTGATATTGTTTATGGTCACCATTGACCGTGTATGGCTTTTTTTTTTTAAACATAATATTTGTTTGGTTTTGGTTTTTTGATCATTAACTTGGTGACATTTTATGCCGTTACACTTTTTGACAGAGACGAAGTCGAATATAAGTTTTGCCAATTTAACACGAGTTTTATTTAAAAAGTTTGCCTCGAAATTACTCGGCGCACAACGCCAAAGGCTTCTGATTGGTTTGTTCATTGGCGCCGGCCAATCACAGCGCCGAACGCGTACTAGTTACGTTTAATTTACACGTAAAAGAAACTAGTGCTAAGGCCTCGTGAGTGTCGAACGTATATACATACTCATTTCGATTACTATAAACGTAAATGAAACTCGTACTAAGTCCTCAGATCACCTCTTTACTCTGCGAAGGATACACCAGGGGACAATTAATGCCGTACGACATGTATCGGCGATTTGTCAAGGGAAGCCTGCCGATGTCGCCCGTATACATGACGACTTATGTCCACAGCAACGTTAATGTTGCCAGGCATGCCGACCAAAGTTCGGCAACGTACTAGTTATTTCCATCATCGTACCACAAGACAATCGGCGAAGCGTCACCGATTCATGGTAGATGTCTCACCCACACGCACAAAGCGCTTCGCATCAAGCTTCCTTGTGCGTACTGCTAAAGAGTGGAATTCTTTGCCAGAGTCTGTATTTCCTGAAGGGTATAACTTGGGAGTCTTCAAGGCCCGAGTGAATAGGTTGCTTATGGGACGACGTGCTCCATCGTAGACTGCATCATCGCTTGCTACTAGGCGAGGTAGTGGTCAAACGTCGGCCCATCAAATCTATAAAAAAAGTCGCGCTACTTCGCCCAACGTCGCTGGCGACACGTGTTGCATGACATTGTCCCCTACTGTATCCTTGCCTTTACATGTCAAATAAAATACAACTATATTCCATTAACTTAACATGCATTTTTCAATGACGTAATTTTACATACAACTAAATTTTTTATCAAATGATAAAGGACTTTACACCTATAAGAATAAAGTTCAAAATAAATTGTCATTATCTCTACGTACATAATTCAGTCAATATTAAAATTATCAACATAAACATTACACTTATGATTTAAAATGAGAAATAAACAGATCTGTATACAAAATATCTAATAGCCACAATTTATAACATGTTCCCATATTCAGATAAATTTAGACTCTATATACATATTGATAAAGTTCATTTGAGAATAACTAATACTGTTAAAATCTGCCCGAGAACGTAGTCGCGGAGAACCTAACGGGTAACCGGGGCTCCGGCTCGACGTGCAGGAGAAGGAACGGGGTGGTTTTTAGTCAGTAAGGGTCTGAAACTCCCTCCCGCCGCACCCAGGCGTGAGCAGCCAATGCGATGATTCTCCCCCCTTAAAAAAAAGCCTCCTCTGGTCATTGGGGAAAGGCTCATTTAGCAGTGAACGACTTGTCGCTGATATGACTAAATTAATAATAGAATAAAAATTATTAAATTCTATACAATCGTTTAGGATTTATGCGCAACCATACAGTTCAGGGATATTTTTTATGAGGGGGGGAAATCATCCAACGACTTCTCCCGCCCGGGTGAAGCGAGAGGGAGTGTCAGACTCTTACTGACTAAAAACCACCCCGTTCCTTCTCCTGCACTTCGAGCCGGAGCCCCGGTTACCCGTTAAGTTCTCCGCGGCTCCGTATCGGCATCAACCCAATATCGTACATCGTTATGTTGTGTCATAATTGCAACCTACACACACAGACACACACACAAATCAAACAAACATATGCATGCATACACACACGCATTTTTTTTTTCTAATTATTTTCACCACGGTAACACTTCCTATGAAACCTGATTGAAACGTGATTATATTGAGGTGCAGGTTCATCAATTTCTAAATCATTTATATTTAGGTGACTATTGATGTTGAGTTTGCAATAAGTTAAATTGTATTACATAGTTAAGATATAAATATTAAGGTATATTGTAAACTTGTTTGTGGTTCCCATATTAAAAAAAAACAAAAAATGGTTGCCTGTAAAGTCGTTTTTACGGGCGAAGATTTTACGTGACAACGTCTTTTTCTCGGTAGAATATTTATTGATATGAATATAATTAAATTGCACAATAGGAACAAGGAATTGAATGAACTAGTGCTGCGCGCGCGGCAGACCGATCATAGTTGAGTGGGAGAGAGACGCAAGGCATTCGGCGGGCCTCTCTCTCGTTCGGTGACTCATCGTAACGTTACCGAGCGTTACACTTTTTCATAAGTGACTCCCAGCCGCAACCTAATTTAAGACGTTGTCACGTCAAAAAAAAGACTCAAGACATTTTAGGGATACCTTATTTTTTAAATATGTATAAACATTACCTAATACTAGTTATTATCAGAGGCCTTATGAGTTTGTTTTACAATTAAAGTATTCGTAACGAGTACGCGTTCGGCGCTCTGATTGGTTGGTTCATTGGCGCCAGCTAATCAGATAGCCGAACGCGTATTCTTTTCGAATACTTTAATCGTAAAATAAACTCGTAAAGACACCTCAGAGCCTTATTAAGACACCATACGTTGTACTACTAGTCGCGCAACCGTACTGTCTACAGAGCGACACCAGAACAAATACTAGTGTCGACTCATTCGCCAGCAACTAGTTGCGCAACAAAGTTGCCACCAGGCGAGATGCCCTCCACACAACTGTATACATTATGTTGGTTGCACGACCTGCGTACGACTGTACCGCCTTTATGAAATGAAATAAGACTTAAATTAATCTGATATAAAATTAAATATGAATAATATTTTAAAAATAAACTTAAAACTTATTGAGTATCTTACTTATTTATGATATTTCAGTCAAAACTTAATACACATTTAATCCCGGGTAGGGTAAACGGAATATATTCAGCCAAGGGATTTAGCATGCAGGTAATAAAATATAGGCTGATTCCGTACAGAGACAGTAACCATTGGTTGTCTAGAGCCGACTGAGTTACAAAAAACATGGCTTCGTTACAAAGCACACAAGAGAGTAGACGACTAATTTTTATTTTAATGTCCGTCTGGTAGATTATTTTAAATCATTAGACACGTATTTTTTATTTTTTTTACAGAAACGACGACTTTCGACGATATGTGGATTTGAAATGTCGCGTGACGTCACTTCTATGTACATTCTATACGTAGAAATGACGTTTAAGCCCCCACTCGTAAACTTTGATTCGTTTTATCTAAGTATTGTTTTCTTATACGACAAAATAAAAAAATACGTGTCTAATATTTTTTCATTACCTAATTGACGGACTAATTAGATTTTTAATTTTCATACCTTGTCATCATCCCCATTTAGTACAATTATAGCTGTCGCGGAGAACCTAACGGGTAACCGGGGCTCCAGCTCGACGTGCAGGAGAAGGAACGGGGTGGTTTTTAGTCAATAAGAGTCTGACACTCCCTCCCGCCTCACCCAGGCGGGAGCAGTCATTCGATGATTTTCACCCCTTAAAAAAAAAGAAGTATAACTATAGTTACTGTCTCTGTACTGAATCAATCTTTATTCTTACCTGCATACTAAATGACTTGATTGATTGTGTTTGCTTATAACTTATACTAATATGTAACTTCAAGTCATATAAAAAGTAAACGAGATTATAATACTTTGATTGAAACAGAAATCGAACGACCTGTCCTGACCACTAACCAAACAGTTGATAATATAAAATTTAGAACATAGACATCGAACCTGCGACTATAAAAACATAACTTAGATATACTTGGTTTTATTGATTCATTTAGCATAACTTCTGCGCACTTTCTTCAGTTCAATTATTGGCGCTCTCTGATAAACCTGAACCTTGTATACTGCGATCCCCAACCCGCCTGCCTGCGGAGATTATGGCAAACGCTCTTATGTAGAGGAGACTCATAATCCACTACTTTTTTTAAGGGATAAACAACCAGACGAATCACCAGATGGTAAATGATTAACTTCAGCCATTGATACCCGCTATACCAGAGGAGTAGCACAATGCCCATGCGTTATCTACGGCGAAGGAGGCTCCATTTTAATGTCAGTCTCAGTGAGATCATGTAACTCCATTTTAACATCCAACGTGGTACTTTCCGGAAGCATATCGTGGAACGCGCCAAAATTGGCGAGCTCGTTGTCATCTTCGCTCATTTCCGCAGTACACAACTCACTCAAAATCATTTTACTCTTCGATAGATCAGAATTGAGGACCTTGTGCCTCTGTATTGCGAACTCCAGAGAATTGTATGACTCTAAACAATACTCGCATTTAAAAATAATTGAATCTCTCAAGTGCTTTAGTTTGTTATGGATATCGATGTAAAACTCATCGTTGAATTGTTTGATGCAATTTTCGCAGTCGACCGCGAAAATTCTTCTGCGAGAACCGAAAGTGGCCAGCTCATCGACATCAAAGTCTGTGTGGAACTTCTTTATATGACGCTTCAAAGTTTTCCTCGTGCTAAAGTCTTTCATACATAATATGCATCGCGGTAAGACCTTTTGCTTAATATTTGGCACCAAATTCACGTGGCATTCTTCGTTATGAGCGTCAAACTTTTCCTGACCTTTAAAAACTAAGTTGCATTCTTCGCATTTATAAATCTGGTCTTCCGCCAAGTGCTTTGTTTGCAAATGTATAGTCAAAGCTTCGTTACTGCTGAAAGAAACGGAGCATAAATGGCATGGAAAAGTATTCATGTTAAAAGAGTGTAATAACTTAAGGTGTATCTTGCAAGATTTTGCCGATTCGAACCGTTTTTGGCAGATATGACATTGAGGGAACGCCGTTGAGTTTGGGTGCTTAGTTCTCACATGTTTTCGTAAACTCCTTTTTTCTTTAAACAACGTTTCGCATTCAATACACTTATGTCTTTGCATCCCTAAATGCGTATACTCAACATGGCGTCTAATATTTCTTTTAGATTTGAATTGCTTGTCGCAGTATTCACATCGGGACCACGAATCATTATTATGCACGATTTTGATATGGGAGGCCAAATAATATTTGTTGCTGCAGATTTTGCCGCAAAGTTCACATTCCACCTCCTCATCTGTGGTGTGTTTCAACTTTATATGGTGTTTTAAAGACCGATCGCTGTAGTAGATCCTATCACAGTGCTTACACTTAAAGGAAATCGAATCTTCGTCGATATTAGTCGAAGATATGTTCGAATCTGCGATTTGGGCTTGCGGATGAAAAATCCGCGTATGGAACTCTAAACTTGAGATGTCTGTGAATAATTTGTCGCAATGGTCGCAGGAGTTCACGTTCGGAGGTGGAAGGCAAACGGTTTTATGCGCAGTCATGGTCTCTTTGCTGAAAAACTTGTTGAAACACACGTTGCAAGTTGATAGCGAGTATTCGGTATCATGATTGACTCGCATGTGATTTTTTAGCTCGTATACTGTCAAAAACGAATTCTCGCAGAACTCGCAGGAATATATGTTATGTGAATCCATTCCATATTGTTTTAATAAGGACTTTTTGCAGTATTTATAAAAGGATTTAAAAGAATGTTCTACTTTAACGTGTCGTCTCAAAGAAGGTTCGTCATCGAATGATTTATCGCAAGATTCGCATTGATATTCCGCGTTCCGAGACTCAAGTTCGGAAGTTTGGTGGTGAAATTGTATATGGGAGTCGTAATTATCTCTCCCTATAATAACTTTGCAGCAATAACTGCAAGTTAAATGCTCCTGGTTGTCCGAACTGTGCCTTGTTCGAGCATGACGCCGTAAACTTTGATTGGACGTGTAAACCTTTGGACAAATGTCGCATTTGAATTCCCCTTTTTCACCGTGAAACATTTCGATATGTCTTTTCAAATTCCGGTTATTCGTGTATACTTTTTCGCATAAATGGCATTTGACAACATCTCTTTCGACGGAATTATGCACAGATTGTATATGTGCTATTAAAGACTGTTTGCCTCTGAATATTTTGTTGCAATCATTGCACGTGGGGTATTCAACGTCCGGGTTATGTAACTGATTCATATGCCGTTTCAAATTGCGTTCTGTTGTGAATGTTTTCTCGCACAACCGACATCGGATCTCGAAGCCTAATCCTTGTAAATGCACGGTGATCATATGGGACACTATATTCTGTTTTCTGGTGAAGATGCGCCCGCATAATTCGCACTCTGGGAAAGGCTGGTTGTAGTTGTTATGTCCTCTTGACATATGCTGTTGTACGCCCGCCAAACTGCCGAAGTTCTGTCCACAAATCTCACATCGACATGACGAGTTGATATGGCAGTTTTCTATGTGTGTTTGCAGATTATATTTCCTTGTAAAAGTTCTTGAGCAGTAGTCGCAAACGAAGTCTAACGTGTTGGCGAACATTTTTGAGATTCTTCTTTTCTGGCTTCGCGTTTAAGTTGGGGTTATCTTCGAGTTAAATCTGGAATAGAAACATTTTCAAATTAGTTAAACGTCATGGGGGAGGGAGTAAAAATGACTGGTTTTAGTGGAGGATTTCATAAAAGGGCTAAAAAGTATGTGGTCCTGGGTAAGACTGTGTCATTGGTCAGGGTGCTTACTCTTGAAACCAATCTCAATGTCAGTGCAATTTCAATCCAATAAAATCTCAATAATTATTCAATGTCAAAACTATACAACATCTATCGTAGCTGTTAAAGTAGCATTCAGAGTACGGAATATAAAGCCAAACTCAATACTATTTAGTTCATTCAATATCCAAGCAATACGGATGCAATGGGCGCTAGTGTTGCAACTCAAGAGTACAAAATTTCACAATACCAATGTCGATCGACCGGAATTGGATTCAAGAGTAAGCCCCCTGGCGGTTGTAAACCGACACTGTCTAAAGTAAAATTCTCCGATTGGGCAAGGTAATGTTGTGCTTATAATGAAAACAATCACATAAGTAAATATTCTATTACATAAAAAAGGTAAATGATCAAATAATGTATCTATAAGATGGTAAAAACATTTCTTTTAAAGAGTAACGATGATGCCTCGTTGGCCGAGTGGTCACAAGTGCGACTGCCGGGCTAGGGGTCTTTTCGATTAGATTTCGATTTCGGGTCGATTCCCGGGTCGGACAAAGTGTTACTGGGTTTTAAAAAAAATCTCAGTAGTAGCACGGAGTCTGGAATGTGCCCGGTATATGGCAATAGGCTTACCCCCTTTTACATGAGACTCATAGCATGGTGGGTGTTACATTGTACAGTGGCATAATGTGCATTTCTGCCTACCTTCTGCCCCTTCGGGGATTAAAGGCTGGATATTATGTAGTAACGATGGAGTTACTAGCTCGTTCTTCTCCATTCGAAACTACACTTTGGAACAAGCGCCTAGCTTCACTGACGGACGGACAATTACATTTTTAACGTTCCAAAACTGATTAAGGATTAATTGATATGAATTCTTTGAGTTTGACTTTATTGAAAGTCAAAGTTATCAATAGATAGTTAGATAGTGTCCATACTACTTATAAAAACTTTTTATAGTGCAAAGTATTTGCATGTACCTAGTGCTTTGCAAAAAAAAGTTTCACACGAAGACATGTGGAATTAATATTGATTCGGACTGAATCACCTAGTTCGGGCCATATCCCATGAATAAACAAACATCCGAATATAAATGTGGGAGAGCCATGCTACGGGCCGGCTCGACCGGAGTGATATACCACGGCCTCACAGCAACCAGACTAATGATACTTCCTTGAAAAATAAATCCTTTTTAAATTGGGCCCATGAAACAACATTGTTTAATTAAGACATTATTTATGAAAGAACTACCACATTTTGATAGAAGGCAGCAGCGCTCTCTGATAAACCTAAATCTTTTATAGTGTGATCTCCAATTAAACTGTCAAACACCAAGCGGTCACCGGTGACCGCAACCTATTGTTCTATAATTGTGTCTATAATGACGGTACTTGACGAGTTAACAAGTTTGTACACTTATGTATTGCGGTCTAGAAGATGCTCAGAGTAGCAGGTAGCAGTGAACCGCCACAGGCTGCAGAATGCTTTAGAAAGCAAGAAAATATTTAAATATTTAAGTATGTGACTTATTTTAAATTATAATTTTTTCTACTCAATATTTTTATTTTATAACTAGCTGACCCGGCAAACTTCATACCGCCTAAAAGTTATTTCTCACCTTTTAAACCTTCCCTAGACTTCCACGAACCTATCAAGACCAAAATTAGCCAAATCAGTTCAGCCGTTCTCGAGTTTTGGCGAGACTAACGAACATCAATTTATTTTTATTTATATAGATTTACTAGCTTATGGCCATGACTTATTTCCATAGGATTTTTAGGATCTTGGGATATAAAATATCTTTTGTTCATCTCCTGGTTCTAAGCTACCTCCCAACTAATTTTCATTCAAATTGATTTAGTTACCTATTAGTAGTTTATTAACTCGTCGAGTACCATCATTATAGACACAATTATAGAACAATAGGTTGCGGTCACCGGTGACCGCTTGGTGTTTGAGTTTAATAGCGTAACTAACACAACTTTCTTTTATATAGGTATATAGATTTAGTTATTGCAGATGTTTTACGAAATTATTATATTTTTTATAATTATTTATGCTCGGGCCAATCTTTTTAAGGGATAACCTAGTAAACTAGCAGACGGATCATCACCATTAAGCATTTGGCGTCGCCCATGAACACCTGGAACACCAGAAGCGTTACACTGGCCTCTTTGCGCTGTTGATTTTATATTTAAACTATTATTCCCTTTTATGTATTTTGTAACGTCTACTCAAAATTTTTGTAACAATTCAAATTAACTGGTTTTCTTTCTTTCTTCATACTTTCATTTACAGTACAGTGATATGGGATAAAGAAATTATCAAGTATTCCTCAATATTATGTTTTAACATAAAAAATATGGTGATAAATAGTTGATCTCTAGTTTCCACTACAACTACAACTACTCAATCAAATTAGATTAAATTTTGTACCTACACAGAGATTGTGACCTGGATTCTTACATAGGGTACGTCTTATCCACAGTGAATTAATTAGAGTAAAGAAACTTGGTGCAGTATCAATATTATGGTTTTTTGTCGTGGTTTATTAATTATGGTTTATAGATTCTACTTTAGTTTTGCTAGTCGCAGTTTAACTATTACTTCACATGCCACGACCTACAAGATCTAATTGCAGTGTCGAAATCATTATTTAAACAGATCGGAAACGAATTAATTACGATTTTTATAAGAGAAACAATATAAAAATATAACTCACTATAAAATCCATTTCTGTGATTTTCGCCATTATAGTAATAATATTTATTTTGTTTTAAAGCACATTGTTTTAAAAATATCACTGACAGATAGGAAAGTATTTTGTTATTTCGTAAATAATAGAACTCCTTGCGAAATGCAATTATTAATTTTGTTGATGCCAAAGTACTATAAGAACTCGTATTCGATGATGAAGTCGAAAGCAGTCGTAATGATTTAGAAAACAATATATTAACGATTTTGCGATTGTTTATGCCTCTAAGGGTCATATTGCTTTTTTGTTGTGCTAGTTATATTTTTTTTCTGTTATAACTTGGTTATTTGTTCAAAATAGTTAAATTTGTAATAAATTATAATATAATAGTGAGAAATGTGTGACTTTTGTTTACATAGTTATGCACAAATTGACATTGACACCAACATTTGATTTGACAGGACAGCGTATGCGACGCCGGGTAAAATACTGCGTTCATTTTAAATATAAAACCTGTGTTTCAAAGGCGGTAACTATCCAGTATCAGATCAGGTGCAATTATTTATAAAACCAACATTTATTATTTAATTTAAATATGTAACTATTTTACGGACAAATCAATCGATTGATATGAGAAAAACAAAAAAAAAATACTTTGTTGTTCCTGAATTATAACATAACATACGAAGTATACGAACGCAACTGTACGAAATGCCAAAATTGTTTGGGTTATCGTTTTAATTGGATTGGTTGTAAATACGAAAAATATAGAAAGCAGCTGAAAAATAAAAATATTGTATAAATAGTGCATAAACAAATGCTTTAACAAATAAAATATCCACGAAATTAACTATAATCGAAAGAAAAGTCAAGGATTTTAGTCAACTCAACTTATTCTTAGACATTTTACTATGAAATCAAAATATAAATAAAACAAACTATTATTTAAATAAAAGCATATAGATTTATCATCAATAAATACCCAGATATATAAATAAGTGCAATAAACCTATTCTCTATAACATAACTTCAATAATTACAAGAATTTAAATAATTTAAATATTTATATAGGAAACTATGGAAAGGCTATCGCTCTGTAGAATATGTTTGGCGGATGATGTTCGCATGTATCTAATAGCTGACAAGAAGCTGCAGGAACTATATGAAAGACTGACAAATACTCCAGTAAGTTATAAAATTATGTATCTCTATACTTAATATTTTCCAACACATTATTATTATAGTAAATCATACTACATTGATAGACATGAAAAACGGTGAAATAAAACATCGTGAGGAAACCTGGGCTTACAATTCCTAATTATAAGTTTGAAATTGCTGATTCAACTGCGAAACACCGAGCGGTCACCGGTGACCGCAACCTATTGTTCTATAATTGTGTTTATAACGAGTTAATTGAAATAAACATCTTGACTTTGACTTGCCTTGTCAAATAAAATGTAAGAAAATTGTTTAGAAACATGTGCAATGCAAGCCCTTACTATGCCATGGTGAGCAATTAAAAATAACATAACATCACGCCTTTATATCCCCGAAGGGGTAGGCAGAGGTGCACAATATGGCACTGCCGCTGTACAATGTAACACCCACTTATCACTGTTTATGTTATTAGTCCCATGTGATAGGGCCTATTGCCATACACCGGGCACAATTCCAAACTCCGTGCTGCTACTGAGATTTTTTTAAAACCTAGTAATACTTTGTTCTAATCAAACCCGAGACCCCTTGCCCGGCAGTCGCATTTACAACCACTCGGCCAATGAGGCAGTCTAAAAATAACAAATTATGTTTAATTTAAATCTTAACTTAACTTATGAAAAAGGAGGTAAAGAAACAGTTGGATCACCTGATGGTAAACGATCAGCAGCACCCATGGACACCCGGAACACCAGAGGTGAGACATATAGAAATGAAAGTAAATTGTTTTAGTTTGTAACTGAGGACAGCAGACCAATGTTGGCATGTTTCTTCTGCTACGCCAATCTGAAGAAATGTTGGTATTTCATGAGAAAGTGCAGAGAAGCCGAGGAGGTGTTCTATCAGATGCTCAACGGAGATTATGAGGTGAGTATATGTCCTATTCTACGTAAATGCCGCGGAGAACCTAACGGGTTGCCGGGGCTCCGGCTCGAAGTGCACGAGTAGGAACGGGGTGGTTTTTAGTCAGTAAGAGTTTGACACTCCCTTCCGCCTCACCCAGGCGGGAAAAGTAATTCGATGATTTTCCCCCCTTAAAAAATTCTACATAAATATAAAACACACACAACAGTTCGACCTAAGAACCTCCTTTTTTGAAGTTGTTAAAAAATCTTGTACTTCTTATCTATACTAATATTATAAAGCTGAATTTGTGTTTTAGTTTGTTTGGACGCGCTAATCTCCGAAACTACTGGTCCGATTTGAAAAATTATTTCTGTGTTGGATAGCCCATTTATCGAGGAAGGCTATAGGCTAAAACATCACGCTACGACCAATAGGAGCTGAGCAGAGCGTGTGAAACCGCGGCGGAAGTACCTAGTAAAATATAAAAATGCCCAATAAAAATTCACTTGCGTCTCACCAATGAGTTGCGACCCACAGTAGGAATCAGTCCGTCAGTTAGATGATGAAAAAATATTAGATACGTACTTATTTTAATTTTCTCGTATAAAATTATAATACTTAGATAAAATGGCGCTAAGTTTAGGAGTCGAGGTCGTGACGTCACAATGTGCTACAAAATGTTGCACGCTTTGACGTCGCACGATATTTCAAACTAATATATCGTCGAAAGTATTTATTTTGTGAGAAAAGAAACGAATATACTTGTCTAATGTTTTAAATTAATCTACCAGACGGACATTAAAATAAAATTTAGGAAACTACCTAAACGCGACGATAGCTCTTGTCGATGTGATAAATAAAAAAGCGAGTGGACTGTATATAAAATGTAATGAATTGAATAAGAACGGAATAACAAGATGTAGATAAGAAATTAGCAACAAGTAAAAAAAAAATGCTTAAGCGCAGCCGTGCGTCTAAGCATGCAACAGCTGACTGGCGCGACGCGGGGCGCGGGCTCGGCTGTAGACCGGCCGGCGAGCCGCAGCCCCCCCGCGTCCCTCGTTCACTGCCGCTGGCGCGCGGGCGCGCCCGGCGATGTTGAGACAGGTGCCTCAACACTACCCTGTTTTTGGAAACCGTGCATTAGAACATTTTTTACAGCAAAATCAACCGAAGCTGAAAGCCCTACACTACGGTGGCTACATCCGAACTGCTATACAGCATATAGACACCACTGACTTGGACAGCGGAGACATCAAGCAGGAAGCAGAGACCCTCAGAGCCGATGTGATGCTGAAGCAAGAGGATGGTATGTTTTTAATGTCTTAGATAAGTGTCATACTTCTACTCAAGATACCACGGCGTCACAGGATACTCTAAAGCATTTGATGACCATTCTCTTTAGTACTGTTATCGTAGTCTATGTCACATAGAGTGTTATGAAGTCCATGGTTCATAGACTTTTATACAAGTTGTAGTTTTGAAACCGTGGCATTTCTCGCGGGCATGTCACATAAGTCATAAGGTTCAATGTAAGAGAAAGTTTCGGGCCAATAGTTAAAAATACGGCTATAATAAATCGTTTAAGTTCGACAGTATTTCAGAATAAGCGACAGCAATGTTTCTTATTGGAGTTTTATGGAATTAGGAATAATATTAATTACGTGTTTGAGTTTATGTGTGTTAAGCCGCGTTATAAAACTAGTTACAAGACGGCGGCGTGTAGTTCGCACTTACGAATTTCCATAATTTATAGAAAAATTAAAATTATTTACCTACAATTTTTTTTATTAATTTGGAATCAGAATCGATAACCGAGTTACCTCCTAGAAAATGACGCGGCTTTAAAACAACACCTTGTATAGTCTATGGTACAAAGGAGTTATCTGTGTTCTGTCTCAAAAGCGCGGGTTGATAAATTTTTGACGCGAAGCAAGAGATTTGTATTGCATTGATACTTTGATAGATGTTTTGTAATTAAACTGTCAAATACCAAGCGGTCACCGGTGACCGCAACCTATTGTTCTATAATTGTGTCTACAAAACCGGTACTCGACGAGTTAAATAAATATTGTAATATCTGACTGCCTCGTTGGCCGAGTGGTCGCAAGTGCGACTGCATGGCAAGGGGTCTCGGGTTCGATTCCCGGGTCGGGCAAAGTATTATTGGGTTTTAAAAAAAATCTCAGTAGTAAGTAGCACGGAGTCTGGAGTAGAAGGAATTGTGTCCGATGGACTCATAACATAAATAGTGAAAAGTGGGTGTTATACCTAACCTACCCCTTTGGGGATAAAAGGCGTGATGTTATGTAATGTAATATCCACTGAATTCCTGTTATTTTACATTTTGAAAAAATTCCCAGAGCTGTCTTACATTTATTTCAATTAAACCATAATTTAATTACATATACAAATTAATTACATACGCTCCTTAAAAAAAATAAATATTATATATAATTATGTATATGTAAACCATCTTCAAACAACGTCTGCGTTTTGTGTCGCCCTGTGAGTGACGTTGCTTTCTTACCATTAGATTTAGGGTCCCCCTTGTGGCTTGAAATACGTCGAACAACCTCAAACAAAAAGTCGTTAAAAAATTGACCGAATACCGAAAACCTACGTAATTTTAATTTATTTACAGAAGTGTCTCAAGATTTAGACAACACCTTCTCATTATCAGAAGATATGCCCCCGCATTCTGACTCCGAAGACGATTTACCTCTAATGAAATTTAAGACAGAAGCGGAAGAAGATAGAGAAGTTATACCCAAGAAGAGAGTTAAGAAGAGAGGTATGCACATTAAATACTGTTTATTCGCGTCATGTCCTTTTTCGTGCTGAAATCAAGTTATTTTATTTTATGATTCATATCAACAGCCTATAAGTAGCCACTGCTGACAAAAGACCCTTCTCATACGGAGAAGGTTTAAGCGTTAATCACTACTTCCTTCTTAAACCTCCGGGCCACCACGACATATTTTGGGATTGCAAACAACTTATTTATGGGAATCGAAAAGAATCAACAATTGCGCGCCTTTCATGAAGCTTTCTCCCTCATCTATATCTATATATATAAAAGAAAGTCGTGTTAGTTACACTACTTATAACTCAAGAACGCCTCAATCGATTTAAATGAAAATTGGCAGGGAGGTAGCTTAGAACCCGGAGACGGACATAGGGTACTTTTTATAGAATACTTTTTTTTACTTTTCTATCTATATATATATATAAAATCTTATCTATCTATATATATATAAAAGAAAGTCGTGTTAGTTACACTACTTATAACTCAAGAACGCCTCAATCGATTTAGATGAAAATTGGCAGGGAGGTAGCTTAGAACCAGGAGACGGACATAGGATACTTTTTATAGAATACTTTTTTTTACTTTTTACCGAAAATAACGATCGGGAACGGGGGCAAAATGGGATTGCGCGTACGAAGTCGCGGGCAGAAGCTAGTTTTATATGAAATAGGAGACAAACGGCAACGGACCTATGACTCCTCTAGTGTTCCGGGTATGGACACCTGGACACCCGGGCGGCGTCGATCGCTTACCATCAGGTCATCAGGTGATCCGACTGCTCGTTTACCGGCTTATTACATAAAAAAAAACTTGTTTCAGTGCGCAAACCAGATTGTAGTGAAATAATACTATCAAAAGAGGAGCAGATACAGAATCTACAAGCGAGATCAAAATCTACGAACTATACGAATTCTCCATTCAAATGTAGTTATTGTTATAAAGGATTCGTCGATGTCAGGGCTTATGACAACCATAAGATGAAGCATGATGTGGTAAGTACATTATTTTACTAGCTGTGCCTTCTCCTTTGGGGTCATGGGCGCATAGAGTGGGGAATCTAGGCGTCCACCTAATGACCTCAAGGATGACGGCGGCACAGTGGTCACGTGCCGCCGTGCAGTGCACAGAGAGGCTCTAGGAGAGACACATAGGTCTCCATAGGGAGGTGCCGTAACAGGCGTTGCACTATGAGGGCACCGGAGTTGGTCTACTAAGAGGACCCGGTGCCCCCTTCAAGTGCGGATGGTGGCCACCGGGGAGGTTTTAGTGAGGTAAAAATCCCACACTCCCTAGTCTTTTTCCCCAAAAAGCTAGGCGCCTTTGGAAGGTTTCCCCCCGTCAACAAAAAAAAAAGGTCACAGAAGCGTACATAGGTATACATTGGTTCTTGCTAGCATAAAGTAATATCGTTCGTCTCATAATTATGCGCGGAACATTCTGGCACAAATAATCTAAGTAATTAGGCAATGCCGCGTGCCGCAATGGTAATTCCAAAATAATGAAAGAACGACAACATTAGTTCGGTGCCTGCATTGTATGTGGCATACCCATACATACAGACAGAGTATCAATGTAGACGTGCGGTCGAGATAGCGGGGTATCTGGCAATCTGTAGTGCCGTCTTATATTATATCGATGTTGTTCGAGGCTTTATCGGGAATCAATTCACGCACCTACGTCAGTGCTATTAATGGATGGAAAATGCGCCTATTTAATCTTATTATAGCTTTTTTAAATTAATTGCATAACAACCTACTTATTGATTTTTAGAGATTATTTTGTTTTTGATTATCCTCGAGACTGAAAGATGGCAAGCCTGCCAATTCCAAGTGAGGCTGCTCCATTAGATCACCGAATCCATTACAATTACCTGACCAACCCTATATATTATGGTAGGTTAGTGAGGAGTCGGGTGTCGTACAGTTATTAATACAGCATACCCATCAAATATATTAAAAAAAAGAGCTTCAGCACACTCCTCACTTGTATAAACGCTGATAATCTTGAAACGGTACAAGATCTCAAATCCTGGCTAATAACATTTACTAATCCCCAACCAAACTGAATCCACTACCTACCTAAGTAGATTCAAAGTACGTTGCACGGGTTTACGTCGGCTAATCATGTTGTGTTCATTCAAAAATTTATATTTATTATAAGCGTCGTCGTAACGAATAACTTCACTGTCGCAAGAACTAGTGCGCGAAACAAAACGAAAATGTTGATATTAAACAGTCTATGTGTTCTATCTTGGTCTCTCAGGTTTATTGTAAAGCTCTGAAAATGCTTTCACTGCCAGCGGAACCCAAGACGTTGTGGCCCGTAGTCGCACTCGTGGCTCTGCGGGCAGCATCAAGATAAGATACAAGAAGGGTATCGGAAAGCATTGATTGATAACATCGCAGTGTATATAATGACCGCTACCTGAACCGCCGGACATCACTCCCTGGACACCACACGCTGCACACTGCGCGCCGCCATGAAGTGCTTCGCATTGCTCGCCCTGCTGCTCGTGTCCTCTGCTTCGCTGGCGGAGGACTCCTCCACCTCCTCGCCGTGCGACCCTGAGGCTTGCAAGCTGCCTCACTGCCGGTGTTCCAGCATCGAAATCCCTGGGGGCCTCGCTCCTCGGGACACTCCGCAGGTGAGGACACAACCATTCACGAACCACGAGTGTCTTCATAAACTTTTGTTATACTAAACTACTGCACACTGCACAGTACTCTACTTCAAGTATTGACTGCTTCGGCTGTCCAGTGTCCGGCAGGACAACTGGTAGTAAATGATATCCCGATTTCGATGTCTATTTAATCTAATTATTGGATTTTTCGATTACAATTGTCTCAAGTGTAGTTTGAAATACCCATTAGCTGCTGGAATATATCGACTGTTGAACAACGGCCTACCTCATTAAAGAGGGTTTGCACCACGACCATCAGTTAGAATATGATGATAAAAACTAAATGGAATATAACAGTACACTTGCCCCCGGTTACATTAATAGTATAATATTTAAGTTTTTAAGTACAGCAGTGGCCCGCCCTGCGTCAGCCACTGCTGAATTGTATCGATTTCGGAGTCAGTCACAGACCCTGTGTGTAGGGGTTGTAAGCGCCTACACTTGGATGATAGTTGATAGGTTGACACGTCCGTGAGCTGTCTAATCTGTCTAACTGCAAAAGCAGCTGAGCTCAATCTCCCCGAAAGCGCCTTTATATGCGGACCCCATTGTAGCCTATTGTCTAACGTAATGCCTAAAAATACTGTCTCGTCGACAAATTCTAACTTTTGACCGTTCAAAACAATATCACAATCGTTACTACGCACGTTTGGTAAACTGAATTTAATACATTTTGTTTTTTTTTCATTAAGTGCTAGATTATTAATGGTAAACCAATTATGCACTTGAAGAATGGAGCTGTTTACGTCGTCAAGATTATTTGTACGTCGATCTACTTTAAAAATTAATGATGTATCATCTGCAAAAAGCACCATTCTTGGTTCATTTTTAAATATAAATGGCAAATCATTTATATAGACTAAAAAGAGAAAGGGACCCAATATTGAACCTTGAGGAACGCCCATATTCATCCCAGAGCCCTGTGAGTTAATACCGTTAACATGAACCTTTAACTGTCTTTCTTCTAAATAAGATTTCATAAGACGGAGCGCAGAGTTTCTTATCCCGTAATGATCTAATTTCAGCAAAAGTGTTTCGTGGTCAACGCAATCAAATGCTTTTGAGAGGTCACAAAATACACCAATAGCATCCTGTGCTTCCTCCCAAGCACCAAATATTTCCTTAATCAAAGTGACACCGGCGTCAGTTGTGCAACGACCTTTAGTGAAACCGTATTGTTGTTGGTGAAAGATGGAATGTTTATTAAAATGATGAAGCATCCGAGACAGCATCAACTTTTCAAAGACTTTGCTGAGAACCGGTAAAACAGACACTGGCCTATAGTTGTTAGGTTCTTTAGTGTCACCACTTTTAAATAGTGGGATAACCTTACTATATTTCATTAGGTCAGGGAAAACACCGTCATCTATACATTTATTGAAAATCACAGCCAGATATGGCGCTACAGTTTGGATAAGTGACTTGCAAACCATTACCGATAAGCCCCAAAGATCCTCCGTTGATTTAGTCTTGATTTCTTTAAAAACTTTTATAATTTCTAGAGGATTCGTATATCGAAAACTAAAGTCGTATTGACATGATTCTATGTTGTTCTTAAGCAAAGTTACAGAGAGGTTTGCTGATGACTTTAAATGTTCAGTTGTTTTAATAGGAATACTAGTAAAAAAATTTTCAAACTCCTGGGCTACATCTACGTTTGATGTAATCTGTCCCCTTTCGGTATTTAAATTAAATTCTGAGTTTCTTAATCTTTTCCTACCGGTCTCGTTGTGTATAACTTTCCAAGTAGTTTTTATCTTATCATCAGACGATTTTATTTTATTACTAATATAAAGACGTTTCGCGACTCTGCATACTATTCTAAAGGTTTTTGAATAAGATGTTACATACTGGTGAAATTGGGGGTCATTTTTGTACGGTTTCATTCCATAAAGTTCAAAAAGTCTGTCCCTACTCTTACGAATACCTACAGTTGCCCAGTCGCTAAATACAAATTTGGTATGAATATCTTTATTTTTTATTGGCAAAATATTGTTAAATTCCTTGTTTAACATCTCAAAGAAATCATTGTAGAATTTATTCAGATTACTAGTATCAAATACTTTCATACATAATTTAGTAGCTAAAGAATTGCTCAATTTCTCCAGATTTTTAAACGTGATTTGTCTATATCTTATTTGAATTTTTAGGATAGGTAAATAAGAGCTATACGCAACCATTAGTCCACAGTGGTCGGATGGCAAGCTATTTATAATATGTTTTTCTTTGTAGTCACAATTACAGAAAACATTATCAATACAGGTGGCGGTAGAGGATGTTATCCTTGTTGGTTCTAAAAAAACATTTTTTAAATTAAATGATCCAAATAAATTTAACAATTCCATACTACTAGTACTATTTTCTAATAAATTAATATTAAAATCACCACATATAATTACTGATTTGTGACTAGAACAAACCTTTCTTAAAACATCCTCCATGACAGAATCAAATACTGTAAGATTCTGATAGTTAGGTGGCCTATACACACAGACAATAACATGTCTATCCAGCTCAACACAGGACAACTCAATGGTGTGTTCAACTGACAGTGCTACAATGTCTTTCCTTCCTTTTGATTTAATACTATTTTTTACTAATATTAAGGACCCACCATGTAACATATGCTTTCTACTGAAATTACTAACTACATTATAATTATCTAAATTTAAAGATATTAGTTGGTCCTCCTTAAGCCAATGTTCTGATAGACAAATTACATCAAATTTAGTCTTTTCCAGAAACATCTCTAATTCAAAGACTTTTGAGGAGCAGCCCTGAATGTTAATATAAAATAATTGTAGATTGTGCTGCCCCTGAGTATAATTGTACTGTGCTTTTTCCTTGCCAGAATATACCTTATTATTTATATGATTTATGAAGGTATGTTCTGTTGTCTTAAAATCTAGTTTAAACTTAAATTAAAATGTGCCTCTGTGCTGTTAGACACTCTAGACAACACAGATTCGTCCTTAAAACTATTTTCTGTTATACAAGTTATAACAGTGTTAATATTATATGCTATCAGCATAGCAATTTTATGTCGACATTTATTTGAAAGGTGTACACCTTTCTTTGTAAAAACAAAAGTACTAATAAATTTATTAGTGTCAAAAAATAAAAGTCTGTCATTGTGACATGTCATTTGGTGTAGTGTATTATTTAGTACACCTATGTATTTGTTCTTAGAACATGATAAACTATTAGAATATGGGAAGGCACACAATATTATCTTCCCTGTGTTCAAGTTCAACAAGGTGTCCACACCGTTCACAATGTCCCCTCTTGTTATTCCTAAGCTGTTACCTAACATTAAAACTAAAACTGACTTTTCATTTAAATCTGCATGAGTTATTTGTTTAATAATATTTTTATAACTCATGTTGTGGTAACTGTTGTTTATAAAACTTTGTTTAAGATGACCATACAGCATTTGGCCAAATCCAGAACCTAACTCATCACTGTAGACATGTGTTTTATAATTTTGTGTATCTTTTAGTTGGGTATTTACTGCAACTTGAGTAGGTAGCAAAAGTGAAGCCTCCGGGGTCTGAGGTTGATTCACACAACTGCATTCTAGGTTATTTGTTAAGGATTCATACCTTTCTGCGTTGTTCTTCACCAAATCCATCAGCTCAGAGGCCACAAGCAGGTGCTCACTCAACTGTTGTTGGGAATATTTGTATTTCTCAAATATCTCCCTCTATTTTTTAGAGACAGACATACAAATACATATTCATAGATGGTTAGGTACTTAATGCCTATTTTATTTTTTTAAAACATTGCCCCAAACTAGGTTTTTCTCCTGTGTCGTGGGTGCGTTTACAAACATACAAGTTCACATACACATCACACACAGACACGGAACAACAATTTGTGGATCACACAAAGAGTTGTTCCGTGCGGGAATCGAACCAGCTATACGCTAGTAAAATATATAATTATACTATAAAAATTAATAAATACAATAAATATAAATATTTGAATACATATTATACATTGTATTTGACGTTTTTCTATTTCAGCGCAGCGGTCCTCACATATGTGACATCTGTCAGATGAGATACCGTTCCGTTCAACTCCTGCGCACGCACGCGAATAATGCACACGTCAGGATATATAAGTGTAATAAATGTGGATATGTGTCGCATACTGGGTGAGTTATAAACATGTATACATGTGTTGCAATATATATATATATTAGATGGCCCGACGTTTGTCCACTATCTCGCCTGGTGGTGCACGATGATGCGGTCTACAATGGAGCACGTCGTCCCATAAACAACCTATTCACTCGGGCCTTGAATACACCTAGGTTATACCCTTCAGGAAATACAGACTCTGGCAAACAATTCCTCAAATTAGCTATAAAATACGCATAATTTATTAAATTATTTTTATAATAACTATCGTGAGACATATAAGATTATCTTAATATAACGAGTCACTCAAGTACTAGGAAAAGCTCTACTAGTTTCGAGTCAGAGAGGGACTCTCACCCTCATAAGCAGCGTCCGCGGTCGCTGTGAACTCAATAGTACGAAATTTCACAATATCAATGTCGATCGATCGGCATTGGGTTGAAGAGTAAGCCCCCTGGTGTCTTCTGAGTTTGAATAATAAACGTTAAAAAAATACAGTCAAATTGAGAACATCTTCCTTTTTTTTGAAGTCGGTTGAAAACTAGATCGTGACATCAATACATAGTATAAAACAAAGTCGCTTTCGCTGTATGTCCGTATGTATGCTTAGATCTTTAAAACTACGCAACGGATTTCGATGCGGTTTTTTTTAATAGATAGAGTGATTCTTAAGGAAGGTTTGTACGTATAATACATGCATATTCTATGTATTATACATACATGCACCCGTGCGAAGCCGGGGCGGGTCACTAGTTGATCATAAAAAGAAGAGTGCACTTCTGTTATTGCTTAGGAGACACAGGAAAAAGAAACAAAGAAGATTTTGGGAAGATACGATATTGATGCGCGATGCGAATCAATTCGCAAGTTCTTGCGGTGCGTAGAGGGAGGTCGGACATTTTTGTGTACGAGCCTTCAATGCGGGTTGGCGATTCTGTATGTACATATTTATATAATTTTAATTTGTCTTGTAATTTCAGAAATCAAGCCAGGATTCACGAGAAATGGCACAACGGGCACACGTACGAGTGTCAGCTATGCAGTCATACTTTCAGGTAATTTACAGTAATCCTACAAATAGGATACAGTATACTGAGAAAAGCTCTACTAGTTTCGAACCAGGGTTTCTTCCTCATGAGCAGCGTGCGCGGTCGCATAGTTAAACTGTCAAACACCCCGAGGACACAGGTGACCGCAACCTATTGTTCTTTAATTGTGTCTATAATGACGGTACTCAACGAGTTAATTTAGTTTGTCTCACGATAGTTATTTCAGTGAAATTTTTACTGTTTTATTATACTTTTTTAAGGAAACCGACCTCGTATCTGTCACATATGAGGAAGCGTCACCCTACGGAACATGTCTGCAATATTTGCGGAGACAGCTTCGTCGGCAAACATGGACTGCAGATGCATAAGAAGAAAACACATATGGATTGCGAAAAGGTAGGAATTTTTTTACTAATACCTTTATGAAATCTTTGCTTTTCCTTTTCTCTTCTGCCCTATTTCCACTTCTTCTTGCACTCTTCCCTTTTCCTCAGTCCGCTTTCCACTTTGCCATCTTTTCCACTGTCCCTCATTCACCTTTTCCACTATCCCTCATTCGCCTTTTCCATTGTGCCTCTTTCACCTTTTTCACTGTCCCTCTTTCCATTGTCCTTTTTTCACCTTTTCCACTGTCCTTCTTTCACCTTTTCTACTGTCCTTCATTCACCTTCTCCATTGTCCCTCATTCACCTTTTCCACTGTCCCTCATTCACCTTCTCCACTGTCCCTCATTCACCTTCTCCACTGTCCCTCATTCACCTTTTCCACTGTCCCTTATTCACCTTTTCAACCGTTCCCCTCACTTTTCCACTGTTCCTCTTTTACTATTTCAGTATTTTCATTGTCTCTGTCACTTTTTACACTTTACCGCTTTTATTTTACCACTACCTCTCTTTTACTTTTTCGCTGACACTCTTTCTTCACTCTCCAGGCCATCCTGAAACGATGTTTCTAGTCTTATTATATTTAACAAAAATTACCTGTATTTTCTTATATTAATAATTATTATTTCTTATATTTAATAATTGCATTTTATTTTATTTGATTTATTACCTATATTTCCAGATGATAGATCCAGATAATCCCGACGATCCCGCCACAGGGAGATTCTGTAAAGAGTGCAATATACAGTTCTATAACTTGGACGCTTGGAAACGACATATTTTGAGCTCTATCAAACATACGCTAAAGACTGAAGAAAGGTGCGATTTTCAAAAATAATTTAAGCTTGAATAGGTCTATAATAATTTAAGGTTGAATCCTTTCCATCTAGACAAGAAATATTTTTTGCTACCTATACGTGCGAATTCATCTGCGTGTAAAAGTAGAACGTTGGCTACCTACCAGTAAAAGTTTAGTCAAAATCGGTCTAGCTATTTTATATATTAGACAGTACAAACAGACAGACAGACAAAATATTTAAAAAAAATATTTCGACTTGAACAGTCAACATACAATAAAATGTTAAAAAATAATCACACTTTCATTAATTGATTTTATGACCAACTTCATTTTAGTATATTTCCAGCAAATATTTAAGAAATAAGTATACTGTTTGACGCTAAAAAAACGTGACGTCACAATACACAATCTCGTACAAAATTCATAGAAAACTGTCGTTTTTGACAGTTCGAAAAAAGTATTGAATTTGACTAGTTGGCAAGTACACCATGTAATATGGGGTGAGCTTATTGCCATATACCAGGAATAGAACCCGAGGCACCTTGCCTGGTAGTCGCACTTGCGACCACACCGAGGCAGTCCATTCTTGCAGCCAATATGTCGGTACTTGCCATTGGTCGGTTTCGAACCTGCGTCTAGAAATATTACTCTAAAAGTGGAACACTAAAGTCTTAATCAAATTCTCTTTTTTCTATTTTAAAAAAGGTTTACTGACCCTAACGTATATTTTTTCAGTACTAACCCACGACAAGAGTATTCTACAGTATTGGCTATGTCCAAAGCGAGTAATGGCTGACAGATAACGACCACAGCGCACAATACGGCAGGAATTGGAAACAAATGCGGATGATCAGTTGTCAAATGTGTTGATTGCAGTACAAAATCAAAGCAAAGAAATGGACCATGGCTCATATTAAGTAGCTCTGGCCGTTATGTCGCAGTTCTTCCACTCAGCTAATACTAATTTATTGCCTTTTATCTCAGTTTGTGGTTGGAAACTAATATTATGTGTAATAGTTTCAAACCCGGTTTTTATTATTATATTCATTTTACAGTAAAACTATTGAATAAATTGCACTTAATTAATATCAACAGTACTATTTTAATTTTTGATTTTATTTATATTTGCAAAGAAAATTATAACGTATACATTGTTATTATTTGACAGCTTCCGCAAATGTTGTAAACACTACGCGGCGCCACTGTCGTGCACATAGCCAATACAGACATTATAAAATATCCCCCGCCCCAAAAAAAAAAAACATATCCTACGTAGGTACCTAAAGAAAATACCAAACAAACGGTTACAAGTAACACAAAGCAAATTTTATGATAATTTACTTGTTTATCTGATACTGAAGACGTATATATCTTGTTTGTTAGATCCTACACAAATAAATGTAATGTTAACGTCTCTACGCCCTTGACGACACAGCTACTGTAAGGATACGACATCAAAGTAATCCTTAACTAATAGTGGTGAGATGCACTTGTTAAGTGTATCGATAAAATTATAGTCGATAGATTTTGCATCGCTTTTTTATCTCCTGATCTTCTGGATCGAATTGAATCATTCTTTTTGCGATATATTTATTGACATGGGCTATAATTATGCTATATAAAATATTACGTTAAAATTAATAACAGCCATGTAGCCACAGTGAAATGGGAATGGCTAGTATCAAAATGAAAGTTTCTCGTCATGGGGAGTGGTGACATCGATTATCATCGTGCGGCGTACTTGTCGGTCTATCACCACTATGTAAGTCCAGTCAGTAATGATAAACTAGTCCCAAAATAATGTGATATGGTGATATATATATTACAAATATCTACTAGTTTCGAACCACAGAGGGGTTCTTCCCTTCCATGAGCAGCGTGCGCGGTCACGGGGACAGTGACGGCGACGTCGCCGCAAAACTAGTAGAGCTTTGGCTTATGGGACGACGTGCTCCATCGTAGACCGCATCATCGCTTACCATCAGGTGGGATAGTGGTCAAACGTCGCCCCATCAAATATAAAAAAAAAGCTTTTCTCAGTATATTCACGGGAGTAACCCGCGACTTTAATTAAAAATATAATTATATATTTGACTGCCTCGTTGGCCGAGTGGTCGCAAGTGCGACTGCCGGGCAAGGGGTCTCGGGTTCGATTCCCGGGTCGGGCAAAGTATTACTGGGATTTTTCAAAAATCTCAGTGGTAGCACGGAGTCTGGAATTGTACCCGGTATATGGCAATAGGCTCACCCCCTATTACATGGGACTCATGACATAAATAGTGAAAAGTGGGTGTTACATTGTACAGTGGCATTAAGTGCCGTAATGTGCACCTCTGCCTACCCCTTCGGGGATATAAAGGCGTGATGTTATGTTATGTTATACTGATATTTATTTGTTTATTTATAAGCACATGTATAATTTTACAGCACAAGCCAAAACATTATACAGTTAAACAATAAAAAATGTTACTTATTTACTATTTTACACTTATGTAATAGGTATCTTATATAAAAGGAACAATAATTATAATTACTTAAAACTAATTCATCAGTCGTCCATCTTCTCGCAAAATCTTACACATTCACGACATCCTTCCATCTCGCTGCGAACAAATCACACTCTGGTGCGGATGCCAGGAAAGCATTATGTCAATAGACTCACCCCCTATATAATAATATAAGATAATGATTTTATTTCAGTGTGGCTCCAACTTCGTGACGCGCTCGAAGCTACAGAGCCACATAAACAGGACGCATTTGGGACTCAAATACAATAAGAATATCGTATGCGAAGTATGTGGAAAGAAATGTACGGTGAGTCTAATTATATTGTGTATTTTTTTTTTTATATTTGATGGGCGACGTTTGACCACTATCTTGCCTAGTGGTAAGCGATGACGCGGTCTACGATGGAGCACGTCGTCCCATAAGCAACCTATTCAGTCGGGCCTTGAAGACTCCCAGGTTATACCCTTCAGGAAATACAGACTCTGGCAAACAATTCCACTCCTTAGCAGTAAACAAAACTATTTTTTATAGAAACTAATTATTGCATTTTCCACAGTCAAACGCAACGCTCAAATATCACCAGCGGACGCACACTGGCGAGAAACCGTACTCCTGCGCGTCGTGCTCAAAGCATTTCGTAGATAGCAACCAACTACGCATACACACACGGACACATACCGGCGAGAAGCCTTATGTATGCGCCGTTTGTGGGAAGCGGTTCAGTCAGAAACCGGCTTTAAATCGACATTATAGGGTAGGTTTTTATTGACATTTACACAATACCTAGTAAAATTTAGTGCCAAAATAATTATGAATTAAAAAGATGATTCTTAAAGAGTACTTATCAATACAGCATACAAATATTCAAGCACATAATAATATTGCATTTTCTGAGGGAAAATCGCAAAGGCGATCAATGGTACCACAAAAAAATTACACAAAATTCGCCAAATCGCCATTTAATTTTGGCGCTAAAATAACAAGTCAAACTAGTGCAGACCATTTCACATTTAATAATCGACTAAAACCATTTTTGACAGGTACACACTGGCGCGAAACCCTACACCTGTCAATATTGTTCTCGGACATTCAGCCAATCAAATTCGTTAAAACTTCACGTCAAAACTGTACATTTAAAACAGCCGGCGAACAGAAAGAGTAAAACTAAGACATCTTTTGAAACAAAAATGGAAAAGAACATCGAAAATCATGAAAATTCAGAAGAGTTACAGATTGATGGGAGTTTGCAGGCAATACGAGTTTTTACACGATGATTGCAAAATGGAAGTGATATTCTCATATATATTTTTATTATAATAATAATCGATTGTAATTCCGCTTATTAAATTATTATAGGCTAATTTATGTTTTTATTTATCTTTCCAACAACGCCTTCCATTCACTACTAGCTTTAAATTAAAATAAATTATAATTATTATTGTGTATCCTTTAATAAATATTGTAATAACAATGTATTCTTGTTCTCTGCGTAAATTGAGATTATAAGCCATTACTGTGTAATATTGTTTTATTTCACATCATCTCTGGTCTTCTTTCTCTGGTATAACAGAAACTGAAAATATCCAATGTTATGAGTTCAACGATGCTAGCGGCTTTTTGACGGTTGTTAAACTATTAAGAATAAAAAAGCGCCAGATGAAAGCTAATTGTTTTATGAATCTAATATAGTAAAGTATAATATGAGGACTATGGGACAGGCCTTTGTCCAGCAGTAGTCGGCTTCTGGCTGTTGATAATGTAATATCATGAACTAAATTACTACGCGTTTTACTATATTTTTGTGTTCTGGGGTCGAATCAAGTCGTTATTTAATTTGACTATAGTAATCGTTTTCAATTAATTAAAGTTAAATCTTATCAAGGTTCTAATGTAGGTATAATATTTTAGGCGATATTTAATAATTTGCACTATTTATTTGTAAATTAATCAACCCGAACATAAATCCACCATGAGAAAAAATCGACTAAAATTTTTAGTAATATCATCGACACCCAACTCTAGCGATTAACAAATGTCACTCAAATAGTCAAAATCCAATCAAAGCAATTTAAAAAAAAAGTTGTGTAAACGATCTTATTATTATTGTTTTGCTACGAATTATTTGTTTTATTACGTGAACTACATACAAAATGTGTACAAAATAAGTAAATTACGATCAATAGAACTTCCATTAACACGTCTAGACAGTCAAAACACAATAAAATTGTGAAATTACGGTGATGTAAACAGATTTATAAACAGTGTAGTTCCACAACAAAAAATTTAATCGGTTGAAATGTTACCGATTTTGATGTATAATAATATGGAAGGGAGTTCTAATTCGTTAAATAATACGCCTAATACTAGTTTTAATCAGTACGATGATAGTATTATTTTGAATTGTGTTAGAAATCGTAAGAAAGTTACGGAATTGCCGAATTGTCCGGTCTGTAGTTGCACTATCAGGCAAGGAGAGTTGGATTCTCATTTAAGTTTGGAGGTGGAGAGATTGCAGAAATTGTCAGGAAGTGGGTCTAAAAGGAAGCTTAGTGTGAATTCTAGTGCTAATCTAGCTGTGCCTGGATCAAGCACCAGCCAAGATGTTGTAGAAGATGAAGTGGACGTCTCAGGCTGTTTGGGCAGCGATGTTTACCAAGTAAGTTTTTCTTGAAAAAAAAATATTTCCCGCCCTTTCGATTTTATTATCTGTTTTGTCAAATATTTTTATTGTTATTTTCGATATATAATGAACATAGCGTAAGTTTGTGTGCCTGATTAAAATAATGTAGATAAATTGTATCTTATATAACTAATTTAACATATTTTCTTTATCTCTACTTTATCTAAAGTTTTTTCAATTCGAGTTCAATGCATTAAGTAAACCAATTTAATGTACACTAATATAGAGTTTATATGTAAAAAATGATTATAAGACTTCTTTTATGCTTTAAGCCATTATGCATAAGCCAAGCATTAACCCATGCAACTTGTATTGAAAGCAAAATTAGTTTATAATATATTTCTGCATTTTATAAGTAAAACAAATATGTAATAGCTTCTACCAGCTTAATGCTCAAATACTGAAAGACTACCCAATTTAAGTCATGCTTAAGTATAGTTTTATCAGTCACGTGTTGACTTAATTATCTAAGTATATTCTGACAGGTCCACACAAACTGTTGTGGATCTTTCTTCAAAAGACCCCTACAGAAACAACTTGTACGGTTTTTGCACATTGCAGCTATAATTTGTCTGGACTTAAAAGAGACAATGACCTCTGAGTTTGTTTCGGCGTTCCTTCTCAAAGTAGTCAGTTAGGAAATGCCGGCTCTCATCTAGTAATTTAAAGATTGATGTATAAAAGTGTTATTTTGTAACATATTTGCAGAAATAAATATCTATTAATTTCATTTTGACCATCTATTTTTTGATTCAAAATGGTATGTTCCCTAGATTCAGTCAGACGTCTAGTTGCTACACTCTATTATAGACTTTGTAAACAAAATAGATTGCCCACAATAAAAACACAGTTATTCATGTCCCTGGGACGCGCCAGACTTAAGTGTTCCAGTGTTTTCATGGTTGTATATCTACTGTAGGTCCTGGCAAACAGGAGATGTAGAGTACTTGTCCCATTAAAAAGAAATACATGTGTTGCTATTGTGAAGATGGGTGTTTATGGATGTGAGGGAGTTTTGAGCTAAAAAAGATCAATAAAACTATTTCTAAGAGTAATGATGAAGGTTCTTGACTTGAGTTTGATTTTGAATAATAAGCCTTGGTGGTGCCCCGTATTAAATATGTTTAGGAGCCTTGGGGCCCTCCAAACAATTGGGTAAATTATGCCTTAATCAAAAGTCAATTATTACGCCTGTTAAATACATTTATTTAAACATATTTAAAAAAAGCTTATTGACCTTTTTTTTTCAATATGAATTTTGAAAGAGTAAATCAAAGTCTACAAAACTGCCAATTTTCAATATTTCCAGGCAACCTCCATATTCCTGCCCAACTGCCCAAATTATCGCAGGAAACTGTTGTTTATTTTTATATTTGTGATTTATAATTTCACGGCAGACTGGGGACATGAACATGTAATTCAGTACCTACTAATGGAATAGCTCATCTGTAGGTACAAATCACTTGTTTATTAAAAAAATTGGGAAGTTTTTATTAATTTTTACTTACGCCCCCTTACGTATGGCAGATACGGCGCTAACTACTCCCCTGGAAAATCTACAAAAACATTGTGAAATCTCGTATCAGTTGTCAAGCCGAAAATAAGTGCGAAAGTAACTCTGTCTGTTTGACTGTCTGTCTGTCTCTTCTTCACACCTAAACTACTGAACCGATTTGATTGTTTAAAATAAGGTTTTTTTTTTTAAATAAAAATTCCCCATACTAGGATTTTCTCCTGTGTCGTGGGTGCGTTTACAAACATATAATATCACATATACATGACACCCAGACCCGAAACAACAATCTGTGGATCACACAAAGAGTTGTTACGTGCGGGAATCGAACCCGCGACACGTTGCGCGGCAGTCAGTTGCCCAGTCACCGCGAAGAACCGTGAAGTCGTTAGTGTACTAGAATATTTTTCCTCAATCTTCCAGCGGGTACATTCCAACCGTCTCCGGCGCCTACGAGCCCGCCGCAGAAGCACCCCGCCCCCTCAACACGGAGAATGCCCAGTATGTAACACTACGCTACCAGTGTCCAGGCTACAGAGACACGCACTCCGATGCCTGAAGCGGACGGGAGCGGAGTTAGATGAGGATGTACCGGATACCAGCTCTGAAGAGGGTAGCATTGATGTTGAGGTATGTATGAGTTTTTTTACGTTGCCCTACATTTTGATTTTCTCCTGTGTGCCACCATAATATAGGGTCGCTGCCATTGCAGCGGTAAGCGCCGTGCCCTCAGGGATGTGATCGGCGACGGCGACCTCTCGCGTTCGGCCCTAGTCCGGACCATGATGCGGAGCGAGGAGGACTGGGATGCCGTCTCCTCCTTTTGCGGAGCAGTCATGCTAGCTAAGGGAGATGAGGAGCGCATGAGGCAGCGAAGGACACTCCGGGCTTCGGGGATCGCGAGACGATCTCCGACCACCGTAGTTCGCCGCCCGACCAGAACCGAGGATACGGCGCGACCCGTTCCACGCTCGCCTCAAAGAGCCGTCAGACCACCACGGATGAGGCCCAATAGGGCTGATGCCGATACGGAGCCGCGGAGAACGTAAACGGGTACCGGGGCTCCGGCTCGAAGTACAGGAGAAGGAACGGGGTGGTTTTTAGTCAGTAAGAGTCGGACATTCCCTTTCGCCTCACCCAGGCGGGAAAATTCATTCGATGATTTTCCCACCTTAAAAAAAGCACCCATAATAAGTGATAGTCGCGAAAAGAGCTTTCTAATGACATAATTCTGGTCGTTATTGGTAGGTAGATACATTCTGCCCATTATTCTTTGTTTCGTATTCGTCCAGTTGAAAACTATAAAATTATAAATATATGTACTTACACCATTACAGAATGACGAACCATCTGGCGGTGGCTTCGGGGCGGAGTACCAGTGGTGTGGGGAATGGAGAGTGAGAGCCACCGCGCTTCAGGACTCTGAGGCAAGAGACGCTACCTGTGTCCGGAGAGCTTCTAACGACCAAGCTTTGGTGAGCATACTTCATTACAATGTGAATAAGTCGCATAATATAACATCGCACTTTTTATCCTCGAAGAGGTAGGCAGAGGTGCACATTACGGCACTTAATGCCACTGTACAATGGAACACCCACTTTTCACTATTTATGTTATGAGTCCCATGTAATAGGGGGTGAGAATTTTTTAAAAACCCAGTAATACTTTGCCCGACCCGGGACTCGAACCCGAGACCCCTTGCCCGGCAGTCGCACTCGCGACCACTCGGCTAATGAGGCATTGTTAATATCCGTGTATTGTATAATGTTTCAGGTCGTGGACGGTGATGAAGATACGGAATTATACGGTCCCCCGCAATACTCGCCGTCGAGGATAGCTCCCGATGTAAGTATCTACATTCTACAATTCGTATATATGTGGTTCAATTTTATGTTTTCGTCTTACTCACGTACTTTTTTGACGAGGTACTCGAAAATATGAGCCTCGAGCATGGCTTGAAACCAGTCGAGTTACTTCAAACACTTTTTTATGGTATAAAACGGTAAACGAGGGAGGGATTCGGGTGATTGGAGAAAGGGGGTAATTGGACCTCCAGTAACCTCACTCAAACAACGCAAGCATTTTTTCACTGAGAACCTAACGGGTAACCGGGGCTCCGGCTCGACGTGCAGGAGAAGGAACGGGGTGGTTTTTAGTCAGTAAGAGTCTGACACTCCCTCCCGCCTCACCCAGGTGGGAGCAGTCATTCCTAATAAAAAAAATGGTTTTCTGCTCGTTGGTGGTATCAGTCTGGCCAGTGGTACACTTAAAGATTTGCTCTCCTCAAAAACAATAATTAATAAGTTTATTTTATCAATTTTCAGGCAGATCTATCAACAGATGTAGCTATAGATGAACTGACGGACGATCAAACGGAAGCGGCGGAGTGTTCGGTGAGCGACCGACCAGTGGCGGCTCCCAGTAGCAAATGTAATGGACTAGTTGAGGCTAGCGCTGAAGTAAGTGTTCTATTATTTACGATCTCCGGTGACCATAAGCGCGGGCCTGCGGACGGCGAGCATGGGTGGCTCCCCGTCCGACCAGAAACAGACCCGAGCGAACGGCGTGTTGCTATCCGTGCGCGTCTCATAGAGCCATCAGACCACCACGGATGGGGCCCAATAGGGCCGATGCCGATACGGAGTCGCGGAGAACTTAACGGGTTACCAGGGCTCCGGCTCGAAGTACAGGAGTAGGAACAGGGTTTTTAGTCAGTAAAAGTCTGACACTCCCTTCTGCCTCCCGCGGGAGCAGTCATTCGAGGATTTTTCTCCCTTAAAACAGAAGTTTCCTATTATTTTTGTATGGTATAGGGCGGCTAAGACGCAGACCAGTCACCTGATGGTAAGCAATCAGTGTTGCTCAAGGACACCCGTTAGCAATCATTCTTAATTTACGTCACACGAATTTCATGATTTTCCCCCTCCCCCCGTCTGCTTTTTCCGAGTTATGTACTTTCTAAGATTATTTAGACACCACTGACAAACGGTGAAGGAAAACATCGCGAGGAAACCTGGACTTATAATTTCTAATTATAAGTTTGAAATCGCCAACTCGCTTTGAGCAAGCGTGGTGAATAATGGTCAAACCTTATCCTTGTGAGAAGAGGCGTTTGGTCAGTAGTGGACACTTATATATAGCTATTGATGATGATGATGATGATAATGATGATGATGACTGCCTCGTTGGCCGAGTGGTCGCAAGTGTGATTGCCAGGCAAGGGGTCTCGGGTTCGATTCCCGGGTCGGGCAAAGTATTACTCGGTTGTTTTCGAAAAATCTCAGTAGTAGCACGGAGTCTGGAATTGTGCTCGGTATATGACAATAGGCTCACCCGCTATTACATGGGACTCATAACATAAATAGTGAAAAGTGGGTGTTACATTGTACAGTGGCACAAAGTGCCGTAATGTACACCTCAGCTTACTCCTTCTGATGATACAGGACAATCCTTTTTTCTCATTTCAGACTAGAATCCAGGCGTTGAAAGCGAGAATAAAAGACTTGGAACGAAAAGCGAATGGCGGTGGAGAGGTAATTATAATTTTTATTGCCATCTTACTAACATTACGAATTCGAATGTTGTGTGTAATTTCTTACTCAATCACATCTAAAGGGATGAATTTGTAACCGGGGATAGATTATGGTATGGAATAACGCATAGGGTTCGTCCATAAATTACGTCACAACTTAAGGGGGAGGGAGGGGGCCGAAGAAGTGTGATAAGGGGGAGGGAGGGATCCAAAACGTTTTGATGTCACATTTCAATGCAAAATGTGACCTCACACTAGAGGGGGGAGTCTAACTAATGTGACTAGCTGTGACCAGGACGGGGGAGGGGTAAAATATTCATGAAATTCGTGTGACTTAATTTATGGATGACCCCATTAGAGTACTTTATATCCCACGGTAATGCGGGCGAAGCCGCGTGCGGAAGGTAATACCTTATACTTATCTTATACGCGCGGAGCCGATACGGAGCCGCGGAGAACCTAACGGGTTACCGAGGCTCCGGCTCGAAGCGCAGGAGTAGGAACGGTAAGATTGTAACACTCCCTCCCTCCTCACCTTGGCGGGAGAAGTCATTCGATGATTTTCCCCCCTTAAAAAAAATACATGGTGCCCGAAAATAGTGGACAACTAGCCGCGAGAGCGCATAGCCGCTATTCCGCGAGGTACCCGGTTACAGATTAACTAATGTTAGCCGTAAGTAGGAGCCGAGCAGAGCGGGCGAAACCGCGCGGCAGTATCTAGCTGTTTTTATAAAACTCAGCAACCTCAAAGTCGCGAGTTTTTATTGAAAAATACAGTTATTATACTTTAAAGGAATGGATGACGTTATATTTACGACCCAATTATTTTTTATATTTATGTTCGACGCCGATCGCGCCCTAACCAAATGCTTGTAACGAAACCATAGCGCGATTCAGTGAACCTAGAATATTGTACAACGCCATCTATCGAGCGTGGTGACAACTCGGTCTGTACGGAATTTTTCTGTAATACATTAAACATAAGCAAAAAAAAAAAATTATGCATACTGTTTACTTTTTCTATATTTATAAGTATAAGTGTAAATTTATTGTGTGTAGCAAGAAATAAAAGGCTTTTTTATTTTTATTTATTTATTTATTTTACTTGAGATTTGTTGTTAGAATAATTAAAAATCTCGTATGAGAGTTGTAGAATAGATAATTTGTTCGCCTTATGTACCATTTTGTAATCAAGTTATGTACATAAAGGGACTAAATAAATAAATAAATAAAATAATTTCCAACATTTTTGTCAAGCAAACGAATCGGCTGAAATGAACAGCATAAGCATAAAATCACACCTTTTATCCTCGAAAGGGTAGATAGAACCAGGTGCACATTACGGCACTTAATGCCACTGTACACTGTAACACCCACTTTTCACTATTTATGTTATGAGTCACAACTGGAAATGAACAGTGAAATAATTATTAAAATATAATTAACATTTGTGTTCAGTTTTTATAATGACTACCATGATAAATACTGAATTAACTAAAAATAACGGTTTACACACGAAAATATACTGAGAAAAGCTTTACTAGTTTCGAATCACTGAGGGACAGGAACTTATCCTACTTTTTTTTAAGGGTGGAAAATCATCGAATGACTGCTCCCAACTTATCCTACTACCCCTAATAATTATTCTACTTATTGAAATCAACTCATTTCTTCGCAAAAACGTTCCACTTAATCACTTCACGTCAAAACCGCTGAAGGCATCGGTATGAAATTGACTACAGGCGTAGATAGATCATGGTCTGGAATATCCCAGGGTACTTTTTATTCTCGTATAGACTGCCTCGTTGGCCGAGTGGTCGCAAGTGCGATAGACTGTATTACAGGGTTTTAAAAAAAATCTTAGTAGTAACACGGAGTCTGTAATTGTGCCCGGTATATGACAATAGACTCACCCCCTATTTTTTTTTATAGCATAAGCCGGTAAACGAGCAGACGGATCACCTGATGGTAAGCAATCGGCGTCGCCCATGGACACACGGAACACCAAGGCGTTACAAGTGCGTTACCGGCCTTTTGGGAATTTGAGGATTGTAGAGGATTCGGGGATTCGGGAGGGAGGTAATTGGGCCTCCGGTAACCTCACTCACACGACGAAACACAACGCAAGCGTTGCTTCACGTTTCTGCTCGGCCGTGGTATCACTCCGGTCGAGCCGGCCCATTCGTGCCGAAGCATGGCTCTCCCACACAAATTATTACATGGGAATCATAATATAAATAGTGGAAAGTGGGCGTTACATTGTACAGTACAGTGGCATATTATACACCTCTGCCTATCCCTTCTGGGATTTACTTCGTTACTTCTTTACTCCACGGGAACGCGGGCGAAGCCGCAGGCTAAAGTTTGTGTATTTTAAAACTCTGCAACTTCTCAGTCGCGAGTTTATATAGAAAAAATTCAGTTATGTTATTATCCCATAGGATGTCGTTTACACGACTCCGATGTTCATAGTCGAGTTCGGACCCTAACCAAATGCGTGTAACGAAACCATAGCGCGATTCAGGAATACTATGAAATCGTACAACGCCATCTATCGAGCGTGGTGACAACTTGGGCTACTCGTAATTTTTCACTCAAATGCATGAGCGATTCGATACTAAATGTATTACACATAACGTAACATCACGCCTTTTATCCTCGAAGGGTTAGGCAGAGGTGCACATTATGCCACTGTACAATGTCACACCCACTTTTCACTATTTATGTTACGAGTCCCATGTAATAGGGGGTGAGCCTATTGCCATATACTGAGCACATTTCCAGACACCGTGCTTCTACTGAGGTCTTTAACATAACATCACGCCTTTTTATCGCCGAAGGGGTAGGCAGAGGTGTACATTATGCCACTGTACAATGTAACACCCACTTTTCACTATTTATGTTATGAGTCCCATGTAATAGGGGGTGTGCCTATTGCCATATACCGGGCACATTTCCAGACTCCGTGCTACTACTGAGGTTTTTACAAACCCAGTAATACTTTGCCCGTAACATCGCACCCGAGGCCACTTGCCCAGCAGTCGCGCTTGCGACCACTCGGCCAATGAGGCAGTCACATTAGACACACACATCACTGGAGGCGTAACAAGTGCGTTACTGGCCTTTTGAAGATTAAAAATTTGAGGATTGTTGGGGATTCAGAGATTGGGGCTAATTGGTCGTCCGCCTGTTGCCATAGTCGGGTATACGACACCCGCGGGAAGAGTAGAGGTGCTGTATTTCTAGGGTTAAAGTTATCCAATGACTGCTCCCGCCTTGAGTGAGGCGAGAGAGAGTGTCAGACTGTTACTGACTAAAAACTACTCCGTTCCTACTCCTGCAAAGAGCAGGGTGCTTACTCTTGAATCCAATTCCGATCGATCGACATTGGTATTGTGAAATTTCGTACTCTTGAGTTGTAACACTAGCGCCCATTGCATCCGTATTGCGTGGATATTGAATGAACTAAATGGTATTGAGTTTGTCTTTATATTCTTTATATTATGGAGGATATGCCTCCGGAGTCCGTAAGAAGCAGACGTGTACTAGAATATTACAAATTTTAATAAAAACTTAGCTAAGTAAAGTGATCCTTATAAGTGCAGTGTTTAAGTTAATTTAACATTGTAGTTGCTTAATCACTCAAGACCTTGTGTTTCTTACGCGAAACTACGCAAGCGCGCGCGCAGCACCGCTCACCCCCGCGGGGAAAAGAGAGCGTCCGATATTTTTCAACCTCCTCGCACGCACTCGTAACATAACAACATGAGTGTAGCAAGGACGCCGCCCAAGGCGACACTGATAAGCGACAGCGAGAGCGGCGAAAGAAGACCTATTACTATAATTTATTTGAAAGCTGCAGCAATGAACCAAAGAAAATGTGGGACCTGATTAATAACTTGGGTTTAAACAAAGTTAAAGACAGCGCCCCTCCTCCCAAACTTATGTCAAACGCTGGACTTCTAGAAGATGGTAACTCAATATGTGACTTGTTTAATTCTTTCTTCTCATCTATAGGCGCAGATTTAGCAAAACAAACACCAGACACATATCACACAAATACGGGCAACACGTTAATGTACGATAATAACTATACACATGACATAATACTAAACGAACTAACGCCGTGCACCACAGAGGAAATAATTAGAATCATAGACGACCTAGATAGAAACACTAGCACTGGTCTGGATGGTATTAGTACTAAGGCAATAAAATGTTTGAAAAATATAATCGTTGAGCAGCTGACCAACTGTATAAATGTCTGTTTACGACAGGGAACTTTTCCAGACACTCTTAAGGTTGCTAGGGTCAGTCCTATTTACAAATCTGGGAAGAGAACTGACCCAAGTAACTACAGACCGGTGTCAGTCTTACCTGTAATGTCCAAAATATTCGAACGCGTATTATACACTCGCCTAAATAACTATTTGACACATAAAAAATTCCTAATAAACGAACAATATGGTTTCCGCTCAAAATCAAGTACCCTGTCGGCTGCAATGGATCTAATTACCAAAATTAAAACTCACATAGATCAAAAAGCCTATGCCTTAGGAATATTTATTGATTTAAAAAAAGCGTTCGATACTGTGAGTCATCATAAACTGCTTCAGAAGTTAGATAATATAGGTGTTACAGGTTCAGCACATAAAATGTTCAAGTCGTATTTGGTGAACAGGCATCAAGTTGTTAAAATAGGAAATGTTCACACTAGCTCGATCCAAACTGTCTCATACGGCTGTCCTCAAGGTTCAATAATCAGTCCGTTACTTTTTCTAATATATATAAACAATATTAATAAAATAGGTTTAATAGGACACCTAACACTATATGCAGACGACACCTGTCTCTTTTACTTTGACAAAACAATTCATAACATTATAAAAGATGCTCAACATGACCTAGATTTATTAAGCGAGTGGCTAAAGTGCAACCTTCTTACAATCAATACATCAAAAACCTCATTCATGATTTTTACCACTAAAAATAAACGTATACCCGACTTCTCGCCTCTTAAAATAAATAATGAAATAATAAAACGATCAACCAACGAAAAATATCTTGGATTGAGGGTAGATGAGAAACTAACTTGGAAATTGCACATTGACCATCTCAGGGGTAAATTAACATCGTTATT